GCCAAGCGATATGTATAAATGTTATTGCATCCGTTGGGATTTGAATGGTGTACCTTCCAGCTTTGCGGAATGAAATTCAAAACGAACTGTGTGGCCTTTGATCCCATTTTCTTTTGGGCCGTGCTCTCATCGGCTCACCTTCCCTGGACCTGGATCTGGATCTTGATGCTTCATGGATGGTACGACGGCGGGTTCGCCACCACCCGCCGTACAGCACCGCATCCTTGAAGAAGTCTTTCCGAGACACGTGCTGGAGGTGATGACGTCAGACAAGCGCCGTACATCGGCTTTTGGCGGCGGCGGCGGCGGATGTCCCTCCCTGGTGCGCACTTCCTCCTTGTCATCGACTTACACTGTCAGCGGCGGTGCCGCCGCCACCGCCGGCAGGCAGCTGTCGTGTGGCGGACGTGGCGTGGGCCAGCCGGCACCTGCGCTAGCCTGGCGTCGTATAACCACAGCACCTGCACAGCCCATGGAGTGTACGACAGTTGCGACGATCGTACAAGCTTCGGCTGCTTCAGTCATCAAGTTTATGTGTCACGCCAAAACATCTGGAGCGCACAAATTACGTGCCACGACCGAGTTAGTCGCTATCCGCAGGTGGCTAAGCCAACCGAAGGTAGTAAGGCGAACCGCGTGTTGATTTATTTGAGACTTTGGGTGGCGTATAAGGCGCTTCCGTTATGATTTGAAGATGTTAGGTTGTCGTTTATCTGTCGTGAGTCGGATGAGCGTTACGCATCCAGGGTAGGGCCGGGTGTGATAAGGCCCGGCGTGGATCAGTCGGTGCTTCGCCATAAATGTGAGTGCGAAGAGGCCAAACATTTGTCGTTTGGCTCTCGAAGCAACTCTTCGTGAGCGTATAGACCATTATATTATTGAAGATAATATAATTATAGGAGGGTTGATAGGACTGTTTGGTGTAACAAGACTGCAATCCTACCCTACCTCGACACGCGCAGCAGAGCAGGATAGACAGAGAGTGTACACACAGCATTCCATAAGGTCCGCCCTTAGTGCTCCTACCTCTAGGCTCGACAGGGATCCGTTCCCAGCCCGTCCTCGCCTACTGCGATCGCGCAAATCAAGTTAACGAAGCTGGAGTGAGTCAGCCAAGTCAAGCCGGAGCTTCAAGGAGAGCTCCTATCGTATTGTATCATCATCATTACCCCACAGCCAAACGACCGAGAAGGTCGGCGAGTCGTCCTGAAGTAGGCGGCCGTGAGAAGCAAGGGATCGGGCGCCAGTACCCCGAGTATATTGTGCAGCTATTGTTGAAAGCGATCCGTCGCTGTATATTCTCCAAGTGGTGTTACCCATCTATTGAGCAAGGCTTTTCGCGTCCGCGCACTAAGCCAACACAGCTCGTTAGCCTTCCGAGGCACATCGAATACGCAGTGTTAATCGACCTCAAGTTACTTCTTCGCCTGGTTCCGACCAGCGTGAGGAGCGCGGGCGCGTCAACCCTCCGGCGGCAGCCATCCGTGGCATCAGTGCCTACTTGTCGCGTTCTTATTTTCTTTTGATTTGCCGCAAAGCTGCTGTTATTATCCAGCTTGTGAGCTTTTGGCGTGGTTGATCTGGCTAGGAAACGAGTCAGGATCCGGTAGCGAAGCACCCTTTCAGTGCGGAGCTTCCGAGCTCCTGGGTGTGTCTGGCATCCAAGCGCCATCGGGCCCTTTGTGTGATTATATTAAGTGTGGAACCAGCTAGTGGTGGCTCTAGTGGTGCATCCGTGTGCCGAGCCCTAGCTGTTGGAGAACTATTTATCTTTGCCGTACCCAGCCACCAAGCGCTCTGGCGTTGGTGTGTGTCCCAGGACTATCGTACGTGCACACAGGCTCCGGCCATACAGACTCATCAGTGAGATAGTGTCCCCGGACATCACTGAACACTGCGCTCTCACTAGAGCCTTGTAAGAGTCTTATCATCTTTTGAGCGCTGGCGGACTCTCTACGTCGCGTCAATCCCCACCGCTCAGCTCGGCCCCCAGGGTCCATCGAGCATTCAACTGCGCCAGCACGCCCTAGGAAAGGTCACGCAAAGCAACAAAAGGGAGTGAAGAAGGGTCCGCCCCTCCCTGCTCAGCAGCAGCAGCAGCCTCACCCAGGACTGGAACCCGTCAGTGAGCAGCACGAGCAGGAGCAGGAGGTTCTGTGGCTTGATAACCCTGAGTACTCCGGTACTGCATCAGGGTTGGGCAACAGCCTCGCGTCAGAAGCACGCGTCGAGCACGCAGGCAGCAGCGGTGATTTGGAGCAAGTGGACGCAGCCGAAGCAGCAGAGAGTGAACACAGCCACTCGCCTGATTTAGAGCTAGGACCAACTTTTCGGCTACACAGCCGAGCCTCCTCAGCAGTAACTTCGGTACCTCAGCAGTTTCCGCTTCCAAGCAAACCCTCAGGAGGATCCGTACAGTCTTCACCTTCCATCAGCCCTTGGTACAGTGATACCGAAATGGAGAATACAGACTCTTCGTGGTCGGGGCCCACCATGCTCCGTTTTCGACACGAGGAGTTCCCTGCCTTCAAGCGGGGGGCGCTGCGTGCAATGCAGACTCTGCACGCACGCTTCCGACTCAACAAAGGACAGGTGCCCATTGATGAAGCTCTCGACTTGATCAACACCTTTCCTACACCAGGTACTATGTACGACATCTGGCATAAGCAGCAACTACATACGTTAGTCAAGGATGCTCGT